GGTAAGGTTGAGGTTGGATGATGTGGGGTTTCGGTGCGGTGATGTCTTGAGGGGATGCTGCCATGACCCTCCTGGACATGTGCATACATGCTATGTAGTGCCTTCGAATGCTGCCACGCGGGAGCCACAACTACTACTACTACTTCTGCTGCTGCTACTGCTACTGCTACTGCTACTACTACTTAAGCCCCTTGGCTCTCAGCTTGGATTAGATTCAGTTTTGTGTTGTAGTGTGCATGATGGCAGTCTGTAAGCCAGCCACCATCTGGCTCACAGTTCTTATAGCGCTCCTTCAGCTGCGCTGGCCAGAGCCCAAGCTCACACTCTGCTGTCTTGAGGATCAGCCTCCAGTCCTGCCACTGACCCAGCCTCAACCGCCTGCTGTCTGTTGGGCTCAAAGCACTGATGCCTCAGGAAAGCCACCATCGAAGCTGCCATGCCTAGAGCGGACAGGGCGGCAAAAGCTAAGGCCCCCAACAGGTCAAGGGCGAAGGCCAAGGCCAAGGAGGCGGCATCTGATCCTGCCAGCTCAGAAATCTCGGGGTTCACTAGCTCAGAGAGCGAGGAGGCGACGTCGGCAGCTCCGGCATCCGCAGCCCGAGAGGTACGAAACGGACCGCCACCACCGGTCCCAGTCCGTGGCAGTGGAAGCGGTGATAGGAGCCGTTCGCCTCCGGGGCCACCACCGCCCGCCCCTGCACTCTCCTCCACGACGAGCGACGGTGTGGCTTCTACAATGCCGAATACACCAGTGCAGGCCCTGGCAGCAATGGAAGCAGCTACGGCTACCACGGCACCGCCTCTTCCATCGCCCTTCCACGCGATGCCTAGCCCGCCAATGGAGGCGACAGCGGACCCATCGACAACTCCGGGTCCAAAGGCGACGGCAGCCCTGGCGACAACGACAGCAAAGGCTCCACCCACGCCTCCAATGGGGCCACCACCTGGGCCGAAGATCTCCTCAGGAGCACCCAATGTCGGCTCCGTGGCGATGTCCAGCAAGGCGTCGAGCCCTCGACCTCCGACAGTGGTGGCCAAGGCGAAGACCGCTGGAGTGGTGCCAGGCTGGGGAGGAGGATGGAAGATCACGATCTGCATCGAGCCGCATCCACCTCCGGGCCCAGAAGGATGAGGCACAGGTCCGGGTTTCCCAAGCTGCTGGAGATGGGGCAGTAGCTCAGCCGATTCACCGCCAGACTCTTCCAGGCCGGGTCGGTAAAACAGGAATCTCCCCACTCATGCAGAAGCCGTCGCACCGACTAGGACGTCGCAGCGGTAATGACAAGTCTCGAACTGCCCGACTTACCCAGGTCTCCATGGCGGATGACGATTGGCAGGCCTCCCGAGCCAATCCGCACTGCCCAGGCAGTGGTCCATGTAAGGACGCAGCACGTCAGACCGTAGACGTGTACTTCAGGAGCCTCAGCCTCGAGGACCCCGACAAGGACGGAGTCCACTGCCACAGCCGACCATGCCCAGCTCAACGCTGGCGTGCCGGGGGCCTATTGGATCTGCAGCGAGAGTGCAGCCTGCCCACAAGCCATTACATCAGGGTAGCTTTATGCAGCACCGGATCACAGCAGCCTTATGGCCCAACTTCAGGGCCGACGCTGAGGCCACCTCCCTCAGACACAATGGGGAAAAGGCCTCCGCGCGTCCTCCCGGGGCCTCTAGATTCCTCCACCATATGCCGGATGGAAGAGCTGACTCCAGGGACGGAAGTTTGCATAACTGGTGGTGCGCATTATCGGCTGCAAAGGCCTGATTCAGCGAGAAAAGCACCCGACCGGGTCCTCCTTCAATATAAAGCTGCTGGAGGGCACTGCGGCCATGCAACAGAAGATATGGACGGTGGACAAAGCGCACCTTGCCTACAGTCCCCCGGGGGACCCCCCGGAGGACGACGGCCTTCATGCCTCCTTGCGGTGGCGCCTCCGGCCGCCACCACTCACGCTCTACACGGCGAGGTGGGTCCTCGGCTGGCAGTCGCTACGTTCCTTGGTCCCGGCCAAGCCTCCACATAAGGGCGCGGCCTCTGCATCGACCCCGGCACCACAGGAAGCTAAGAAGGTGAAGACGACAGCGGCCGACAAGCAGGAGGCGGAGCCCAGACTGCTCCCCACCCCGAAGGTCCGGGGGAGGATCAAGCCAGCAGCTTTGGCAGATCAGGAGCCCCAGGCTACGATGTCGGAGCCCACTTCCCCGAGTTCGGCAGCCATGGGCAAGAAGAAGAAGGCCAAGGAGGTCTCAGACCAGCAGAGCGACACGCCTCCAATTGAGGCTGACCGTTCCAGCAGCACCAAGGCGCGCCAGACAAGCTCCAGGACCCCGTTGCCGAGGCTACGTGGACGTTCAGTCGAGGCCCAGGGACAGACCGGACTGCAAGACGCTACGGAAGGCAAGGACAACCAAGGCGAGGCCATTGTCTCCCACGGGCAGCCGCAAAAGGAGGAGGCCGTGAGGCCTAGAGGCCGGGGAGAAAAAGAGTTCACTCCGTCAACAGAGACCATGGTCGAGGACGTGGAGGTGGAAGTGGAGGTCGAGGAAGAGCCGGCCGCCAAGAAACCCAGGAGGCCTGTGACCCTGACGTCCAGGGTCACATGCCGACGCCTGCAGAAGGTCCGGAAGATCGACAAGCCCCAGGACGAGGCACTTCCGAAGCGGGCGGAGCGGAGTAGCGGACAACAAGGAGTCAATCCACCACGACCGCGGAAGCGACCATTCTGGTTTCTCACCTCCGAAGATGAGAGAGACTCGCCGGACCCAAAACGGGGACCGAAAGCCGGCAAGGCTGAGACTGGGAAGAAGGGAGAATACATGCTGCCAATTGATCAGCGTTTCAGTGCGCTACGGTCTAATGAGACTCGCACCAAGCATGCTCTCAGGTCTCCGGGGACTCGGCAAATCAGCCCCGCCACGGCCGCGCAACTGGCGGCGTTCTTACTCCCTGCCATCTTACCTCTCAGAGTGCTCCACACAGTGTCCTTCCAAGATGCTGTCGGAGCCGGAGCCGCAACTGCCACAGTCTCAGCCCTAGCCCCAACCGGCGTGAAGACGGCTGCAGGCAGTGGCCCGAGCAGGCACACGCACTGTCATCTATTCGTTTGCTCAGGCCGCCTCCCTGGATACTTCCGGATGACAATGCCAAGCACCATGCGAACATATTGGCAGGCCTGCTCTTACAGTCCCCAGGACCCTGTGATCGTCCCCGAATGGCCTATATCCTGGCCAGGGCGACGACCACCGCCTCGCACTCCCACCTCTATCCCGGCAACAGCCCCAGCTACGGAGAGCCATGCTGAATCTTGCCTGGACTCTGACCCAGGTATGTCTACTACATTGGCAGCAGGCCCACGGCCAGCCACTTCAAACAGACCCTCTTGGAGGTCAGCCCTGTTACTCAAGGGGTGGCCGGACTGCTACCAGAACGCCGAGCAGTGCCTGGTCTGTGCACAGTCTCGAGCCCAGCACCTCCCGCTGAGGGATGCACAGTCCACCGATGTGCACGTACGCCCCGGCTCAGGAGCTGCCGGCCAACCTCGCTGGATAACAGCACCCAGGTCTGTGCCGGGCCCTTGGACCACGAAAACCGGGCAGGCGAAAGGAAGCAGCCAAGCTGGCCTGTCCAAGCTGCCGTGTATGCAGGGAGCATTACGAGGCGCGAACCCCAGCGGGAGGCCAGCCACGGTCCCGCTCAGACAGGTGGCGTGCGAAAGACACTCGGCCCTGCTGGGGCACAGCACGCCGATCAGCAGTTAACAAAATACCGGAGCACTACCAGGCCAGGAACAGCGCCTCTTCGTCTCAGGACAAGGCGACCACTGAGCTTGAGAGCCTGGCTAGTCTGTTTCACTTTCAAGAGATGGACTAAGATGCCCGCCAAGTGGTGGGGCCACCCGGGCCGATCAGAACAATCAATACAGCGCGCCAGCCGCAAAGAGCCAGCCATTAGCACCAAACCCTACAATCAATCAAGTCAAGTGAGCTACTCCGGTCCCAATGCCGAAGATCAGCCCGAGCCACGGGTCCTCCATCTCACCTTGGGGCTCCCCCTGCGAATTGGAAGATTCCGTCTGCCCTGGCTGATAGGGGTGAGGGTTGGTGGTGTATGTCACGCACCACTGAGACCAGCGAGGAATCTCTCCAGATTCCTCTCTGGGAAGCCTAGACATGAGCCAGATACTGATATCAGCCCTCAAACATGGATGGCCGCCCCGCGGGGCCCATCCTCCATCACCGGTGCCCCCAGTCAATCGGCTATCAAACTTAGCCTGCCCGAGAGACTGCGGATGCCAAACAGCGACAAATGGAAGCGATACCGACTGATGGTGTTCAAGAAGCAGGGACAGCTGTACCGTGCCACCCTAGCCCTGCACTCGGCCTCGACCGCAGCCCATCTCTCATGCACCTTACCCGATCCATGTGTGTACAGCTGCCGCGCGGCACCGGCCTCACCGTATCTGCGCCCTGATGGACCCATACACCGAGCCCCATCAGCATGCTCAGGTTCACCGCGCAGACGACGGCCCCGCTGGTGGCAAGGCTTGCTCCTAGGCCTAGCTCTCCAAGCTCAACCATCCACATCTGCGCACTTCAGCAGCAGGACCTGCATCCTTGTGGTACAGCCAGCAGGGAGCCACCGCCTCGGGCTGCGTACACCGCTATTCGGAAGAGAGCCTATAAAAGGGCGCTCAGGAGAGCGGCTCGACATCCCGAGCAGCAAACCACCTACCGAGGCAGGCCCGTGACCCTAAGACAATTACACAGGAGTTATGTTGGAGCCCGCAGCCGAGATGCACAGCAGCAGCCCGCACCCCTCAGACTGAAGCCCCTGACTCGAGACCCAGACAGGGTGCTACTATTCAGCTGGAACTGTGGTGGTCTCTCAGGACCCCTGTGGGACGAACTCCTCCTGTACCTTGAGAACCTTGACCCGCAGCACAGACCACAGATTGTCATGCTGCAAGAAAGTCACTGGGGCGAACACTGCGCTCGGACATTCAATTCAGGACGCTGGAAGGTCATTACGTCGCCGGCCACCGACAACCAGTCGGCAGGAGTGGCTACCCTCCTTGATCGGGGCCTTTGCAGCAACGGCCAGGTACTCCACACCGACCCGATCCCAGGTCGTCTGCTACACGTCCGCCTCCAAAGGCCGGACTGGACACTTGACACCTACAATGTCTACCGGAGACAAATCGGCCAGGGAAGGGACACCGCCGAAGAAGTTCGGGCCCTGCGAAATCGAGTGTGGCAGGCCTTTGAGGCAGTGCTTGCGAGGGCGCCACAAAGGCACACGATACTGGCTGCAGGTGACTTCAACTGCCCTCTACGAGAAGGTGCCTGTGCAGGCCCAAGATGTGCCCCGCAGGACACTAAGCCCCCTGCTGACCAAAGCTCCTTCCTTCGCGCCCTCGAGGACCATCACATGATCCAGGTCAACTCCTGGCAAAGACAAGCAGGAGCAACTTACTACCATGCCAAAGGCCAGACCCTCATTGATCATGTCCTGCTCCGTAAATCGCAGTGTGACCAGCGTGCCAAAACGGCCAAGCCGGTCAAAACATCCCTGGCGGCGTGGCGGCAGGGAAGCTACCATCTCCCAGTCCTGTGCAGTCTTCCCGTACATCGTTTTCACAGCCTCAACAAGCCGAAGCAGCCCAAGAGAGAATGGAACCACTGGGATCTCATTCGCAGCCTCCGTGACCCGCACTCATCGCAATTACAGGCCTTTCGGCAAGCGGTTGCTGCCGGCCTGTCGAAGGCCGTGGACGCCCCCACTATTAATGCCCTGCTATGCAGCTGTGCCTCTCAAGTCTTCCCCCCGCAGGTCCGCCCGCAGAGGCTGACAGCGTGGCAAACCCAGCCCATGCAGGTTGGGATCAAAGGCATGTGGCAAGCGTATGCACAGTGGAAGCGCGTAGCCCTGCGAGGGAATGGCGCCATCCTACGAGTGTGGAGGAGCTATGCGACGTTCAGAAAGGCGCAGCGGGACTTCAGGAAAGCGGGCAAGCAAGCTCGCAAGCAATGGTTCAGCAACAGACTGCAGGACCTGCAGCAGGCGGCTGCAAGGAAGGACATGCGGGCACTCTTCGCAGGCATGCGCACCATGGCGCCTAAGAAGAAGAAGAGCGAAGTTCAACTTAAGAGCCCGGACGGGCACCTGCAATCGGCGGAGGCGCAAATTCGGCAGCTCCGTGTGCACTACCAACAGGTCTACAAGCGTGACCCTCAGAAGCCCCCACCCACGACAAGGGCACAGCTCTGCATTGAGGTTACAGAAGCCGAAGTTCAGCAGGCCCTGTCTAGCCTGTTGGCCCATAAAGCCACGCCGCCCCACTTAGCTTCGACAGCGATGTGGAAGGGCTGCTCGGACCTTTTGACCCCCCTCTTAACCCAATGGGCTACAGGCCTCAAAGCCGTGCCCGGCTTGTGGAAGGATGCCTGGTTGGTCTTGATACCGAAGAAGCAGCGGATTGTCTCCCCACGAGACCTACGACCCATAGGGTTGACTGAGGCCAGCGGCCGGGCCCTCTCCCACATACTACAGCAGCGCTTGCGACCGTACGTGGAGAGGTACCTTCACCAAGTTCCACAGTATGCCTATCTACGAGAGAAGCATACTGGAGTGGCGATTGCTCGGGCCCAACATCACAATTTGCTGGTTCAGCAAGCTTGCGAATGCAAGTCAAGGACGGTGATGGACGCTTACGAGAACAAGCCGCGGCAACAAAGGGCATTCGCCGGATGCCAACTCTCGCTGGACCTCACAAGCGCATTCGATGTTGCGGATTGGGGGCTGATCCAAGCTGCTTTGGAGGACGCCGACATTCCCCATGACCTCCGTGCGTGGGCCTTATCCTGGTATGATGGCATAACTTATCACATCCAACATCTGGGTCAACAGGCGAAGGCAGAAGCGTCCAGAGGACTGCGCCAAGGATGCAAATTAGCACCATTGATATGGGCCCTCCTCACAGCCTTTATGCACAAACAGCTTGCATTGTCTTTGGACGCCCAATGGTTGGCGCAAGGTACCACCACCTTCGCGGATGATTTTCTGCTACAGGATACAGCAGAGAATTATCTAGCCCTAGAGAGAGCGAGTACCAGATTTGCCACCATCCTCGATTCCCTAGCAGACCACGGAATGTGTATCAACGCTAAAAAGTCGGCTTTTCTCATTCGCTACAGAGGACACTTCGCAAGGAAGTGGATGCGGCAACACACAGTCCGTACCCCAGAGGGTGACTACCTCCGAATTCGCACCAAGCGGTCCAGGCTCTTTGAGTTCCCTATCAAGGATCAGCACACCTATCTTGGGGTGGTACTCAGTTACCACTCAGCGCCTAAGCAAACGGTTGCCCATCGCATCAAGGAAGCCAATGGAACCTGGCAGCGACTACGGCCCATCCTGTGCTCTCGCAGCTATCTGTCCGAGAAGGACCGGGTTCGACTGTGGAGTGCGACGGTCCTCCCCACTTTAGTGTACGGAGTCTCGGCCTCCTCGCCCGGCATCAAGGATGTGCAGCAAATGCAATATGTTGCCACTCGCCACCTACGCGCCATTGCTCGCTCCTTTGCGCACATCAGCAAGGAATCCACGCTCAATCTGCTTGCTCGACTAAGGGTGGCCCCTATTCACAAGAGGCTTCTTCAGGAAGCCACGGCCCTCTCGCAGACCCTTCTACGCCTGGAACAGGCACAGCATCCCATGCTGCCGGCAGTTCGGGATCGAGTACGAGAGACGGCAGCGGCCCTACAAGCGGCTCAGATCAGCACCGAAACGGCGGACCTAGGCGACCTAGGTGTTCACCATCATGCATGTAGAGACTGCGGACAGCAGTTCAGGACCTTCCGTCTCCTCCGAATCCATGAAGCAGCGTATCATCAGAAGAAAACCCAGAAGGAGAACGGACCTGTCTTCGATAAGATGGTACATGGGTCGGGAGGCCTGCCGATCTGCTCACTCTGCCAACATGATTTCCGCCGGTGGCATAACCTGTCCCAACACATCCGTTGGAACAGGTGCCATGCTATGCGCGATAGCCTGGACCATGGACAAGCCAAGGCCTCCACACCCTCAGCTGCAGAGACCGTTCTTCAGGACAGGCCCCTATATGAGTGGCCCAACATTCGGGAGGCTCTCGACAAGCTCGGCTGGGAGAACCTTTTGTTCAATCCGCAAGTCCAGGCCTATTTGCGCCACTGCTGTCCACTATGCAAACAGTGGCATGCGGACACTACCAGTCTTAAGCGCCACCTGACCACCCAGCACTCCAGCTGGCCCGAGCACAGTGCTGCAGCCAGGCAGCTCATGAGGAGTTTCCGTAGGCACACCGTCCTTCCCTGTAGGTACTGTGGGCAAAGCGCGGTAAACAAAGATAGACATTGGTATCAGTGTCCTGTCATAAGCATTTGCGCCTTCCTGCAAGCCCTCCATGTCCCCCTCGGTGGAAAGAATACCCATGGACCTGGATGGAGGAGTCGCAATTCTTCAACCGGTTCTCCCAGAAGCGGAGCCCCGATCCGAAGGAGGAGGACGACAGGCAGAAGAGCCAGCGCCTAGCGGGTACCGAAGGCCAACGAGGGAAGGGCAAGGGCAAAAGCCAGGGCAAGACAGGGTCCAAAGGCAACGGAAAGGGCAAGGGCAAAAGCAAGCACAGCCTGACGAGCTCCTGGACAAACAGCCACAACTGGGAGGATTACACAGGTGGTTCAGAACCACCACCGGCACCATGGACCAGCGACCAGTCGAACTCATGGGGAGGCGACAAGACCCAGGAGCACCTCCACAAGCTAACGCAAGTGGTGCTTCGTCAGGAGCGAACGATTGCATCCCTCCGCCAGGACATGGTGATGCACCTCTTCGTGAAAGGCGGCGAGACGGGAGGGGGTATCATACCGGTGCTCTTTCGGACGGCAGAAGTTTGGAGAGAGATGAAGGAGCAGGAGCCGCACAAGCTCACGTACTCCCTCAAGATCGCTATGTTCAAAAAGCTTCTCCTGAGGTTGCACGAGAGGCTGGAGGCTACGGCGGCGAACCAGGAGGCTCTACA